CTGGGCCTTGGGGCAGGCGTTCGCTGCGAGCGTCAGAGCTCTCCGGAGCGTGGAGGCCGTGGTGGGGCGGAATTTCTGCTGGTGTCTCTGAAACGACGGCCTGCAAAACCGAGGGGTTTAACCTTTAAGTGCCGTTGATACGGTCGTATCCGCCCAATAATTCTCTTAACAAAAAAAGTGAAAAATGTTATATAAAGTTTAAGAAAGGCTGCAACCAGCCTTTACAGTATACGAAGGGGGATAAATTTTGCAGTCTCTTAGCCTTTTGGATAAGTTGGGCTCGATGATGTCTGCGGCCTTTTCCGGCCTGACTGATTCTGTATTGTGTGACACGAGCAGAGAGTACCGCGCACGGGATGGGTGTACAGGAACGTGGCGAAGCCAGAGAGCGTCTCCGACCACATGTACAGGATGGCAATGATGGCTTTGGTGACTGAAGACAAAAACCTTAACAAGGACAGGTGAGACTGCCTCTCCTTATCACGACCATATGTTAATGTTGTGGGAGAGCTGCAAACAAAAGGCTAAAGAAGCTGTTGTCCCATGTAAGAGCTTTTAAATGACACTGAAGGAATTTGAAATCCTTTCCCCTCTTTTCCCTCTATCCATTGGACAGGCCATCCTCTGGTCGTTTGAAAGGGGGTAAAAACTTTTTTGCTTAACTGTGAGTGTTGAGGCAAGTCCTTAGTGCGGAGGCTCAAAGCTGGTCTTCTTTCAAGTAGTAAATAAACAGGCTGAAGACCCTTGTTAAAAAACAATGTCAAGCAACAAACAGCTGTGTCAGAGCCTTAGACTATGTCGATTTTGACAGACTAGAGGAGCGCTCAGCCGCAGTAAGGGGCCACAGAAAGCCTCTAGGATAGCAGAGAATGCTCTAAGAGCTGTCATGAAGGCTTTTTTGACTATTCTGCTGCAGACTGGCATAGCTGCAGAGCTGTGAGTGACAGATTATATGCTGAATTTGGGATTGCTCCAATCAGATTACCTTCTACCTATTGCAGGAATAATGTGAAGTGTATAATGTAGTTAATTGCCACAACATCTCCAAAAGTCAAGTATACTAAAGCTAAGTACATTACTTTTGAATATTATGCTCTGGTACACAGTGTATTTATACTTCAATCTACATTTACAAGCAGTAGAGACTAGAAATCAAAAATCAAAATCATGTCAAGGTGGAAAATAATTCCCTTAACAAAAAATGTTATATAAAGTTTAAGAAAGGCTCGAACCAACCTTTAGAGAAAATGAAGGGGGATAAATTCTGCAGTCTTTTAGCCTTATGGATAAGTTTTCAACTTAAAATGCTGAAAAACTAATTACTCTGTCCCTCCTTCTTGTCAGATGCATACGGTTAGCTTTGGTTCATGATATGGCTGAATGCATTGTTGGAGATATTGCTCCTGCAGATAATATCCCAAAAGAGGAGAAACACAGGAGAGAAGAGGTATGAACATAAGGAGTGAAGCCACAGCTGCAGAGCATTCTGTGTGTTTTTGTGTTCTGGGTGGTGAAGGAACATCCCAAGCAGTCATTGGCATTGGCATTGGACAAGCCTGCCACAGCCAAGTAGAGTTTGCAGCTCATTGAGATTTTTGTACCTGTAACATGACCAAGTACAAAGTTATGGAAGAATCTTGGAAGTAATCTTCACCTTGGACCTTTTGATGATTTGGTCTTTGTTTCTACCTTTGTTTATTCCTGAACTAGCTGCAGTTTTGGTAAGCCTGAATGAGTCATGTTCAGCCTCCTTCCCGAGGGGTGAGGAGCAGGGAGTAGGTGCACTGAGTAGGGTGGATGACAGTTCATGTCAGATCTTGTGTGTGGTGCCAGATCATGAGGTTGACAGAGAATTCATTTAAACCTTCTGCTCAGAGCCTCAGATGCAGGTGTCTCTTCTGTTACTGTTGTGATTCTTTGAGTGAGCCTGCCTAGAGTCACTTTATTGCTGGCCTTGCACAAATAATGCCACAAACCAGAAACAACCTAACTGCTGGTTTATTATTTCTGGTATGTGGCATTATTTGAAGAAAATGTAAACCATTTCTGTAGCCACAGCTAGAGGGCAATGTCATGCCTCAGAAACTCTTTAGAGGCTTTTTTCATTCAGTGTAAGAACACACAAGGAAGTATATTAAAAAAAGGAACACCAAAATTACAGTCAGTAAAGATAGTACTTCAAGGATGCTAAATGTACCTTAGATCTTTAATTTCCACTTTCTTGCAAAGAACTTACTCCTAGAGTTAGTCATGGACCCCAGCCCCTAGTTTTAACCAGACAAGCATAAAAGGGGCCCCCTTTTATGGATGATGAATAATCACTGGAGTGTTTGTTACACTCTTCAAAGAGCTTCAGAACACTGAATAGAGAAAACCTATTTACTGGAAGCTTCTAAAGGTTGTTGTGTCACTGAGGATCAGCCTTCAACTTTGGTCTCATTTGAATTTAGGCAAGAAAAGAGATTTTGATGCCTAGTTATGTTTAAGAAATTTTCTTAAGTATTTGCAGCTCCTTCTGCTCCCATTTCAGTCAGTGAGGATATTGTGAGAGGAAGAGTAAAGCATGAACTATTTGGTCTGACTGAAATACTTTGTTGTAAAAATAGACCATGGGTAGCCACTTCAGGAGGTGGCTTGAGGTGAATTATCAATACTCTGCTTCCACTGCAGAGTTCTCCCTTCTTCTGCTTGCTCTACAGCCAACATTGAGCTGGCTCCAGAGTTTGCTGCTTGTGCAGTAACTTTAACCAGTGAGTCTCACAGCACTAAGGCAGCAGAAAATGAACCTGATTAATAAAAGAAGTTTTGGGGTTTTTTTGGAGGAGAGAGGTTGTTGTAAAAAGCCCAAAGTAGGGCTTTTTGACAGGTAAGTCATTTTAGCCACCTAACCTTGAAATCTGGTAAGTTCCAGAGCTGGAAAGAGAGAGAAGGAATGAGACCTTGATGCTTCAGTGGTGGCAAGCAATTTGGAACCATATTGTGGCACTATATCCTGTATATGAAGTGGAGAAACAATCATGGCATGAAGCTTTTGTCTTGCTTGTGATGTTGGTTGTTTTAGAAGCAGCCCTTCATGTTACTGACCAAACAGTAGAGATGGCACAGAAATGAGATTGATCAACTGGGGAACACAAAGAATATGCAGAACAAGTTCTGCTGGTGGCCTGCTCCAGTGCAGGCTTCCAGGGTCGCAGCCTCCTTTGAGTATCCCCCTGCTCCAAATCCTCCATGGGCCCCAGGTGGATATTGGCTCCACCATGGACCTCCAGGGGCTGCAGGTGGATCTCTGCTCCTCTGTAGGGCTGCACAGCTGCCTCACATGATCTTCCTCACAGGCTGCAGGGGAATCTGCTGTGGCATCTAAAGCACCTTTTCCCTCTCCTTCTCTAACCCTGGTATCTGCAGAGTTCTTCCTCTCACTTCTCACTCCTCCTCTTGGGTGAAGTTGCACAGGGCTTTCCTCTCCCATTAAATGTTATCCCAGAGGTGTTACCACCTTGGTCTTGGCCAGAGCTGTAGCCAAACATTGCCATGCCAAAACAATACAGTAATTTGCTGTGTAGTGAATGTTTCTGCTAGCTTGGTAACATGTAGATAATTATTCAGAAAATTTAATGATACAAATGTTGCTCAGAAAATACATAAATGGAAATGGCTTCTTTTTTTCAGACAGCTATGCAACAGCTGACCCACCTTCTATCAGAGGACCTCAGAAAAGAAATCTATGAACTCTGGGAAGTAAGTTTGCATTCTTTTAATCCTGTGTTAAAATTCAGGGTGACCCATTCCCTTCTTCCCATTTACCTGTGAAATTCTGCCATCTCTTATTTTGACTTCAAGAAAGTGAGATTTATTTTCTTAGAAGATAAAGCCTAACAGTATGAGTCGAGGTCAATTTTGGATCATTTTTAGACAGAAAGCCTGGACTTTGGTGAAATTTCCATCTTCTGCCCCATGCCTCTCAGAGTTCCCAATCAACTGTCTAGGGCTTGGTTTGTACAGCTAAAGGAAAGGTTTGTCCTCTACAACCAGCCCTCTGGATATAAATCTGATTTTTTATTGCATTATCACTTACATTCATATCTGGTCACATGCAGCTTTTAATACAGGAAAAAAAATAATGGTGGGTGATGGTGCTGTGGTTTATCTTCTGCTTTTTATGCAAGTAATATCTGTGGCTTTCATTTCTTTCTAATAAAGTACATTAGACCAAGATATTTAGTAGTAACTTAAAATTATTAAGTAAACTAACGTTTAAACTTAAATGTGACCCAAGAAAATGCACTTTTGTACAAACACCGGAGATTTCTGGTCTTGGATTCTTTAAAAGTTTGTATTAGAAAGTATCTTTTGTGTATGAAGGTGATTTAACCATTTTTATGCAAACCCATGCTGTTAATTGATAAGATCTTTTATACTTGCAAATGAGGGATGATTAGATTATTTTCACACAATTCAAGTTTATAATTACTGTGCTTTATCTCCTCCTGACATATGGTCGCATGGGGGAAATTGAATCCACAGCCTCTTGTCCAAGCATTCTGTGTTTCTTGAACTATATCATCTGAATCTGTATCTTACATTCATATTCTTTTCTACTTAGAGGGAATTTAAATTCCAAATATTGGCATCCAGTTTCTGCCTTTTGCTACAACACCCTGTTTGTGGTTTTGTTTTAGGTTTAGGGTTGGTTTTGTTTTTTTTTCCCTGTTGTAGTTGGGTGGTTGGTTGAACAGGCAGTGGGAATGGGCACCCGTAGCTATATTTTAAGGTAAGGGGGGTTAACCAACATCATCAGATACAGGAAATAATATGTGTGTATTTTTTTAGGGAGTACTGGTTCCTTCTCCCTTGAGAAACTCTTATAATTGAGGAAAATGAGTTTTTGATAGATAAGGTTAGTTCTGTGTAATTGGGTGTTTCTCTTTGCTGGTCTGTCTTCTCCAGTGACATTGTAAGAGATTGTTCAGTATGGAGTCAGTTCTTTAGTATGTTAGCTTTTCATCATTCTCATTAACCATAATTTAATATGTGCACACTTTTGATAGTTTGGTCTTTGTTTCTACATTCAAGATTATTTATTGGCACTGTATCTGCAATTCATTAGCATGAGTGCAACCCACCTGGCAGAGAGGGTACCCTGAAAGTCCATTATTCACATGTAGTCCCTCCAGTGTTAAGTGGAACAACTAATTGCTCTTTAAGAAGAAAAAAAAAAAAAAAAAGAAATAAAGAAAATAAGCATCTGATAACCTGGTGTGCTGTTCTTTCGTCAGCTAGCCAGAGACATTTCCCTATGATTTTTTTTGGGTGAGTGAAGGTGATCATGGACCAGAGCTGAACAGTGCTGAGCAATACAAGATTTCTTCACACTTTTAGCAAGTGAAGAAATCCTTCCTGCTCTGCCCTGCCCTTGTCTCTCTCTGTCTTTGCTTTTAGCTGTACAAGGACTGCTGCTTTGGGTGGTCTTGGTGGGTACCTGGTGACTGTCATGTAGGGGAGAGGCAGCAGAAAGATGCCTCAGACATATCTTCACTTTATCACTTAATCCCAAATATGTTTGAAAAAACAGTAAAGTAAATGAGTCAGCACGTTTCAGCTCTGTCCTGCTTTTTTATTCTCAAGTGCAAAAGCACAGGAATGATTTTTAAAAGATGGCCTGTGGTGCTGGAGTGTTTTTCCAAAGTACAGTTAGGGTTTTTCCAAAGTACACTGTTATTTCAGAGTCTTAGCCACCTGTGGGGAGGAAACAGCAGGTGTTTGTTTCAGCACTGTGCACAGTTGCACATGTAATAGCTGATGTTTCCTGAGGACAGTGTGAGCTGAGGTGTGAATAACATCGGGTGTGTAGCACAGAGGTTGGCAGCAGATTGATACTCCCACCTGATTGTTGGAATTGAAACTGACTTTTACAAGTGAACAGCCCTACTTCTTCTTTTCTTGAAGTTCTCCTTTGTAATGCTGCCAAGAGTTTGTTGTCTTTGAGGGACTCTCACCCCTGCAAAAGAGATTATAAAAAATAGAGAAGAAAGAAATAGGTTTAAGAAAATTAGTAGTACTTAAACAATTTAAAAATGAGGCAAAGCTCAGGTTGAAAAGAGAAAAACAAGATAAAAACACTGAAATGAAATTTATTATTAAAATAATGATGCAGATGTAACTGAAAATTCAAAGTACCATTGAAATCTATATAGAATAGTAAACCAATCAATTATGGCCATTGAAATCTGGATTTCTGACTTCAAAGGTAAAGTAATAAGCCTAAAAACAGGCTATGAATAGTATGCAAGACAAGGAAATGACTGTCACGCTGAGCATCAGTGTGCTGGAATTACAAAGCTGGGGTCTTTCCACTGTGAGTGACACTCACACCACAGTTGTCTGCATCATAAGATGCAGAAAGGATTGCCAGGTTCTGTGGTCGAAAGGCAAACCCCTTCCTGCACTCACGCTGCTCTGTGGAAGTGCTATGATCCACAGGTGCTGTGCATCTGGGAGCTTAGATGGTCCCAGTGTGCGCTTTGGTGTGATTAATGGTGGTGGGGATGACGAATAGGGTCAGACCTGCCAATGGCATCAAGGTAACCTGCACAGAAGAAAAGCCCTTTCTCCTTTGGTTTTGGAAATCAGGAGAGTCAGGAAGACCTGCTCATGAGACATCTCATAAAAAGCAGTAGATTTGGAAAAGAGAAAATGCAATGCCAAACCTGTCTGCGGCCATCACTGGAAGCAAATGACAGCAAAATTGTTCAAGTTGAGTAGAAATTTGAATCACTCATAAATACATGCTGATGATGACTGTAGAGAGGGAAAAGATAGCAGAGAGATTAAAGGACTTGAATTCTGAAGGGGAGGAAACCCCTTAACCACTCCCTATCTCCTAGGAGAGACATAAGGACATAAGCAGCTCAGACAGATTAGAGCAAAAAGATTAGGCAGGAATGTCAGGAGAAATATAAAGAACAACTCCATATAGAAACAGTAAGTGGTGAGAGAAGTGCAAAATAGGTCTTAAAAATAGGTGGTGACAGTGCATAGCACACACTGTGGTAATTAATAGCCTTAGCCAGGCCTGAAGTTATCTTTCTACGTAAAATACAGTTAAATCAAACCTATTTTTTAACTTGTGTGTCATGCAGAGTTGCCTCCATATCATCCCTGATTCACCCAAAACAATTGGTGTATTGAGTTTTATATTATGCAAAAGGTTGTATTTTACATCCCACTGCATTTAATATAAAATTGGCATGTATTTTAAGTGTTTTGCTGACCACTGTGTGTTTGTAAAAACAAAGAGGAAGATGTAATTGTGCTGAATATTTCTGGATTGGCTTGTACTAATGAAGAAAGTTCTAGATATATAAAGAGATTTTAGTGTTCTGTTTCAGAGTAACAGAATTATTTTCTTACAACTGCGAATCTTTTCAGGAATATGAAAACCAGTCTACTGCAGAGGCCAAGTTTGTAAAGCAGTTGGATCAGTGTGAGATGATACTGCAAGCATTTGAGTATGAAGAGTTGGAAAAGACACCTGGCAGACTGCAGGATTTTTTTGATTCAACTGCTGGTAAGACATTTGGGTTTTTTTTCTTCCTCTTTCATAAATGAAATATATAAATTCCCTTTTTTTTTTCCTGACAGACGTTCAGAGCAAGTGAGAACTAGTTATTTTACTCATTGCTCAAATCCCCTAATATTCCTGGAGAAACTTGATGCATTGTGAACATACCTGACATTTATCTGTAGGTATTAAACCTGAATTTAGTTTATGCCAAATTCTTTTACATCACTTTTCACCTTAGAGAGAGGCTCAGCTTTCATTACACTTGCATGTGTGTAAGGATCTCCCTGAAACATCAGAGTCTTCAAAAAGGAGTCTTCAGTGTTCACCCATGCTCTGACAGCAGTTTGTTGGTACTCTGTCAGTGTTTCAGAAACCAGTGAAGTAGGATTTGTTATCCCCAAGTGAGCTGAGTGACCAGCCCAAGGTTCCTGTGAGAACCACCTCAAAGAAATGATTAAGTTCCAGCTGTGTTACTTTTTATTCTATCCACTGCTTTTCATCCTTTGCAGAATATACTGGTAGTTTGAAGCAGAGATAGGTAAAATAATAATCTTTATTATTTTGGCAAGATAGTTGAACACCAGAGGAGGACTATAAGTAACTCATCCTGTCCTGGGAAAAAAACTAAAGATAGATAAACTCTAGGGGTAGGAGAACCAGCAGTAACCCAACAGAGTCCCTGACAAGTCCCATTGATACTTTGGTGATTCCCCAGGGAAGTAAAAATCTCTCTGTAAGACTTTGATAGCAAAGGGGAAAAAACGACAACGTGAACGAAGGTGATAATGCTCTGTTTTCTAACAGATGTCTTTGCTCCCCTACCAGAATTTAACAACTTCAAATGAGCTGGTGTGTGAGTAGAGCCTGCAGCATGTTCCCGAAGTGCACCTGGAACTGGAGTGGTTTTCTGTAGCACGATACATAGTATAGATTATCTTGGTCAGGGTGCATCCCTTTTTCAGCTCTTAAATGTCTTAATAAAGCACAAAATACAAGCTTTTTGTGAAGAAGGGGTGTAGCTACACTTACTCCATAGTTGGATTGAACTGGGAGCATTCACTTTCTTAAAAGAATAATTTGACATTTATTCTGAGTCTAAAGTGATATCTCTGCTATTGTTCCAATTCCAGCCTTTCACATGTGGCAAAATGAGAGCATTTTTCATTAACCTTCCCTTTCTTTTGTTTTGCAGGGAAGTTTGTTCACCCAGAAATACTCCAGCTTGTATCTCTGATTTACATAGAAAGGAAAAAAAGAATAGCTGCCACGTCTCCTCCACATTCCTAAGGTGTTCCTAAATGCTGTAGCCATAATAAATACTTTGGTTTATATTCTGGTCATTATTTTTTGTCTTCTAACATCACCATTTCTGCTAGCAGATTTTTTTTCTGTGCATTCACTGCTGAGAATCCCAGGACCACTTAGAGGGGAGCAGGTACTGTAGTTGCCTTCCAGATCAGAGGTTGTGTCAGGGAACAAGGAATTAGTGTATTTGGTGTTCTCCTTTTTAATCAGCCTCTGATACATGCAATCTCAGTTACAAATAGATTCTCCACTGGGAAAGTCCATGTACATTTAAAAATTAGTTGATTGCAATCTAATCTGTTCATGTAATGCACTGTGTGGGGCAAGTGGTCTTGTTCTGTGAATTTCTAAGTATGTATGGATTTAAGTACCTTCAAAATGGGTTAATATCCACTCTGTGCTCCACAGAAACGAGACTAAATGAGCCTGTGTCTGTAGAAGCTCTTGACTGAGCTTAGAGATGAGATTTCTTTGGAGTGCATCAGCCTTAAGTGATGGTGCCTAAAACTGGTAATCTCATTAATTATATTTTCTCAGTATCTTCTTTGTTTCATGCAACTTTTCCCCTGTTCATGTGTTGTATCAGGGAATGGCACCAGTATTTCTATGTCTATATTCCTCACTCCCCCTCACCCCAGACTGGCAGTTTTACAGACTCCTTCACAGGTAATTAAAAATCACAGAATACCTGAGGTTGGGAGGGACCATTGAAGTTTGTGCAATCTAATGCAGAAGTCTGTACATCCATGTGGAGCTGGCTCCCTTCTCCAGGCTGTGGCACGCTGGTAGCAGTTCTGCCATAAATGAGTTTCTGGCAGAAGTGGACACTAATGTAGAAGTTCAGAGTGATTGTGAAGTAAAGCTGCAGTGGTGGTAAATGCCATCATGAGGCCAGTGTCTGCACACCCAACTGCTGCATTGCGTGCAGCTGGAGATGAGGACAATGCCATGATTGCCAAATAAGCAAAATTTGCACCTGTAAAACTTACCTGGTAGAGACTTGGAGTTCTCTTCTCTTCTCTGTCTTCCACCTCATGTCCAATGAAGCAGCATAAAACTAAATTCAGTTGTCATATCCTTTAAAGGTAGGTAGTGTATTTGAACACCCATTGTCAGGCACCATGACTCAGGAAATGCCTTCTTGACACAAACCTCAGGGGCCTGACTGAAGCTCCCCAAGTGTTCTGTGCTGGTGCCTTTCCTGGAGCACAGAGTGCTGTGCAGGGTTGCTGGGAGCTTCTTGCCTCAATGGCTGGCACAGAGCTCAGAACCTGCAGAGTGAATTGGTCTGCTTCAGAGGAGATGCGAGGTGCCTGCTCTGCTCAGGAACCCGCTGGGGCAGCAGTCTGGAAGAACAGGTTGCACTTGGCTGAGCCCATTAGTGGTTCTTGGCAACAGACTGCCATACTGCAGAGGGGGATGGAGTTGGGCCCACTGAGCTTTTGTCAGCATTTTTATTCCACCTAGATGCACACAAATCATAGTGCCTGTTAGTTTGCATTGAATGCTGAGAAAGCTACAGATGCATGGAAGGGCAGAATTGAGAACATTCTTGACAAACCAGCAAAGTGGCCTTGAAGGGATGTTTGGTAGAAACACACCCAGCACAAACACTGCCCTAAGCAGGAACAGTCCATTCGTGCGGCATAGCAGGAGGCTTCCCCATTCTGCAGGGGACCGAGGGGACAGCGTGGAACCCCATGCTCAGTAATCACAGAGTGGTTTGAGTGGGAAGGGACCTTAGAGATCAACAAGTTCCAACTCCCTTGCCAGTGGCAGGGACACCTTCTGCTAGATTGCTCAGTACTACTGGTAAACAGAATTAAAACATCACAAAGGGTAAAAGAGCGAGAAATTTATTTTTAATAAGAATATCAAGAACTTCATTTACACAAACTAAGTTGTCAGTATCTTCCATTTTAAATAAATTCACATTTATGCACAAAACCACGTAAAATAAGCTAGAAAATTGTCACAAGAATGCTAGAAAAACAATTAGGTTTGCTTCCATGCTAAAAATCACACTAAAGAGGCATGTGATATAAATGTCCAAAGTTAGCCTATATCCAGTAGAACATTACAAAAGGACTTTCAACTTTGTAAAAACTAACAAAAGCCACACAAGAAAAAAACAAAAATCACTTAAAGCCACATTTTCTCACAAAATTTTAAGCAGTCTGTAATGTCAAACTCACTAACACTGATTTGAAGCTTTGGCGTATGCTCAAAATACACATCTATTTTCAAAGTAGCCAGGCTCCTTTCCATCCTGTTTACTGATAACTGTGCCCACCTCAGTGTGTGGTGAGCTGAGCAACACAACATGCGGACTGACACGTGCTCACTACACAGCAAGATAGTGTCACAAACGTGCTGCTCTTTCCTTAGAAAACGTGAAAAGATTGCAGCTCAGAATGCATGCTGAATGAAAGCTGAGAGACGTCTGGCTCTTGGTGATTGAGCAGGGATAATGCGGTTGGTGGAATTAACATCCTGGAGTGAAGCACAGCAAAATTTGACACCAAAAGTGAAGTTCTTACTCATCCTGTGCATTGTCAGGTGATGGGATCTATGCTAGCAGCTCTGAAGGCATGGGCTCTCTAACCTATGGCACGTCTGAAGCCAAACGTTTGGTTTGTATTCTTTCACTTAAGGCTGTATCTTGACAGAGGCTCATAAACATATTTTTCCTTGGTTTTGAGGGGAAGATACAGAGGCAGAAATATTAGAGGTTCCCTCCACTCCACTTGGTTTTCTAATTAAGTTCACTGCCAAGTCTTACCAAACCAAAGAGAGCAAGCAATGGTGCACATTTTGAAACTGAAACCTTTCCGGCCAGAATGATTACCTGAAATGAGCAGCTGTGATAGGTGGTTTCTGTATGAATAACCAGGTGTCTCTTCCTGCCCTCCTTAACTCTGCTGCCCAATGGATGTAGGGCAATGCCAGACCGTACCACTGAAGGAGAAACAGCTTTTTGTGACAGTAAGTGATTTTAATGTTAGGAAATAGATGATGTACAGACACTCACTCCTGAGCAAAGGGCACCTGGTATGGATGGTAGACAGCTGGTGTATGGGCTACTGCTGGCAGCTGAATGCTTTGCACAGCTCTAGGTCCATCTGTCTGATGTGGCACTGAGAGGGAAGCCAGAAACCAACAGATAGAAAAAAAGGTAAACCAATATAAATAAGAAACAGAGACTGGGAGATTGTTAGAGGGAAGTCACACGTAACTGAAAACTATTTAGCCACTTAACACAGAATTTAGTGCATTATAGCCAATGACTTACGTGTGGTTTTGATGATGTACAAAGTACCTGGTGATAAAACGGCCCATCTGAAATAGAAACAGGGAGAGGAAACATTTCTCCAACACAAGGCCAGGATGGCAATTTTCCAAAGCTGACAAAACCTTGTTGCGCAAGTTGTGTGGTGAGGGAGAGCTGAAAACCATTGTGTGGGCAAGTCTCTGAAGAGAGGCATGTGGGGCTCAGGAGGGCCCGCTGTTTAACACTGAAGCTCTTCTTCACTTTCAGGGAGCCGGGTGCCAGCGAGGGAGCTCTGAGCACTAGCATGGGCTGTAGAGCTGAGAACTTCTTCAAAACTGCCTCCCGTGTGGCTTGTCCCACCAACCTTGGTCTGAAATAAGCAAACAGAGAACAGCAAGATCCTCTGCCCACACTGAAGCAAATCCCATTTTCCAATCCACCCCATGGCCAAGGAGAGCAGGGAACTGTTCAGGCAGAGAATGCGTAGGGATGGTTCCTTAGAACAACAGCTATAAAACAGTCAAATAAAGCAACTTTACTCCACAATTTCTAAACTAGGCTGCCATGATAAAATTTGACAGTGGCATGTCTCATATGCTTAAAGGAGTCAGTCCCTAAGTAGATCCCAGGCAGGATCCTAGACCCTAGCAGTAAACCCAATAGGGTTGTTTACCTGAGTAGCTCACACTGGTTTCACTGCTTTTTTTCCAATTCTATGCAGGCTGGAAAAGAGATGGATACTAAAATGAACTGGTTCATTTGCTGAGTGGCCCACATGCCAGCTATAGCAACACAGCTGCTTGCAAAATTCATAAACCACGCTGGGATTTTGGACAGCAGAAAGAATGTAGTAACCAAAGGACCTAAATCCCTTCAGGCACTTGTAGCTGCCTAGACACTGGAATATAAAACTGCCAGTGGCATTTTCATGGGAGAAGGCAGAGAAGAGTTACCAAAATATATTGATCAAACATATCCAGTGTGCTTGCACATCTACTTTCAGAATGCTTCAGGTCAATGAATTTGTAATAAGTATTAAAAATAAAAATCTGTAAGACTAAACCTTTGAAAAAGAAGTTCTCTAACAAAGATAGAGCTGTATCTAAAGATTTGATCAAGACTAAGTGATGAAGAGACAAAGCCATTGTCACTAGGTTGTCTTGGTAAGAAAACATTCTTTTGTGGCTCTGCTTACTGATATACCTGCTCCAAGTTGATTCAAACCTGAAAATAGGGCAAAACCTTTTACTCCATCCTAGAATTGCAGCAGAACTCAAAGACAAGCTGACATTTTTTTCAACCTCTCAGCCACTGAATGCTTAGGAAGATTATTTTAATTAAATGAACCTTGTGTTCTAAGTTTCCAAAGGGTTAATCCTACGTAATCCTGTTTCTTTAGCTAGCACAGCAGCTTACCTAGCTTGAAAGTCCAATAAAACATTTAATTCATCAGAGTTCAGATTTTCAGCAAAATGAGGCACCCTTATCCTGTTTGATTTCCAGGGGACAATGAACTAGTACACTCTCCCAAGAAAGGTACAACCCAAAGTCCAGACTCCAAGAGAAAATAAAATTTAATTTGAAATTTGACTTCTAAATGTTATGAAACCTGAACATCAGTTTTGGCAAACTGTAGAACACTGTAGGATCACTGAAGATTTGTAGCTGATACAGGGGTTGGAGAGATGATAAGACTACTGCTGTTCTTTATTTTCAGGAGCCTCTCTGGGTAGTTCTTCACTTTTTGAGAGCATAACAAAACCCTAGAATTGAAGGGTAACTCCATGATTTCTCCCCCATTCCCTGGTCTTCCTAATCTTGCAAGCCTTGGAACAGAGGTAGAAAAAAGGAGGAGCAATGCTGAAACATTCCTACTTGTCTGCAGTCTACCCTGGTGGCACCCTAGATCCATGACTCCAGCTACCCTTCTCCATTTGCATGAGGAAAGAAAAGAAAAAGAAAAGGAAAAAGAAAAAGAAAAAATACAGAAAGAAAATATTTAAGAAAATGTGAGTTTGTCAATAAAGACAGACAATTAAGGTTTCATGAGATATGGAGGATTATTTCAGACTCAGAACTTACTGTATTGTCCTGCTTAATTACAGATTTCTTAAAGGATGATCTAAGAGCACTCTGAACACAACAGGCTGAGCTGGCATGACAAATACTCTCCTCTAGAACACCTTTGCTTAATCAACAAAATAAGATCAGGCTTCTCAAGCAGATCACTGTGAGCGGAAATGCTCTTCAGAGCTGTGCAGTTTGAATTACCTTTTTCTATTTCTGAATGACACATTGAGATGACTGGGAACAGACACTCCTTACCATCACTATTTTTGGCATTTCCGAGACCACTTGCTTACTTTGGCAGGCATCAGAAATAATTTCTTAGTAACAAAGCAAAGGAAAACAATTTCTTCGCATATTGCCTTCGTTTTCCATTAGTGCTCAATGACATTCTTGATGGAACAACAAACTAAATCAGTCTCCTGTACAAATGATAAGGACAACTAAGCTGTCACACTTTAACGCACACAGGAATGCAAACTCTGCCCCTAACATTTACCTTAAGGCTTGTGACAGTGGTTTCAACCTTCTCCTCAAACGATTTGAAAGTTGGAGAATTCCTAGGAGAAAAAAAGTTGAAGGGAGGAAAAAGAGTCAGTTGCCAACATCATGGGATAATTCCACAATTTGATCAGTTCTTGCCAGGCAACACTGCCAGCACAGAATGAAGGCTGGCTGGCAGCACAAGGCTATGAACACTCACTTGTGCTCTGTCAGTCAAATCCAATTATGGTAATCGGATGAGTACTTTTTAGCTACAAATTTTCAAAAGTAGAACCTGCATAGTAATTGAAACCAAATTATAACTGGCCTGCCTACTCTATGATACATTTGTCATGTTCTCAGAAAAACAGCCAGACAATGCTGCCTGTAATGCTGCTTTTCTATGGCTTTATCCATTTGTATTGTTGCTGTAAAGAAATAAACATTCTTTTCAGCTGATGAGCAAGTTCATAACCTACACTATTAAAAAGATGCCAAGTTTAATGTCCTAAGGTTGGGAAGGAGATTAGAACCACATGGGAAGGGGTCCCAAATGTCATTGAGGAATCCTGCCCTGCCCCCCCCACCCTTCCCTGTGATTTTGTCACTGCTGTTTTCAAAGACAAAGACTTTAGAGAGAGACTGTGTTCCTAAGGTGCCTTTCTGACTAAGCTAAGCTTTCCTCTGCGTTCACCCAACATAGTGGAGACTTGGACAAGTCTACCATGGGTGAAGGGGACCTTCTTGTTCTCTGCTCCTTGCTTGGCACCTGAGAGATCATTTAAAACATACATTGTGTTTCATTATTAGTGAATACTCTGAAGCTCAGGCCCTGTTGTCCAGCACAGTTCCTCGCTCTGCAAATACATTTATATCATATCCCTCATCAGGCTGAATTAAAATGACCCCAATTTAAGGGAAGGACAAACAGAAGCCAGTTGAAAAAATAATGCAAATTTAGTTTCTGTTATTTAGATGACAGATTTTTTCATAGGGCAAGAAGGGTCAAAAGGAGAAAGAAACTCAGTTTTATAACTTATATGTGATCCATAGGTCACATTGGTGAATGCTGCCTTAAACTACCCACCTGCTGAAGCTGAATGAATTAGCATCCATCATTTAGTTGTGAGTTTGTTTTTCATGCATGCTTGGCACAGAGTGGGGACAGTCATGTATTTAGAGGCCAAGGGAGTAAAAAGAAAGCTGGATACTAATTTTATTGAAAACAGTCAGAGCTTTACTTGAACAGACGTCAATATTTGGCTGCAGCCAAGTAAAGTGTGATTATAGCCATTAAAATATGAAAGCACTCATGTAAAATCCCTCCATAGGAGCATGATCCAAAGCCTGTTGGAGTGGAAAGCATCTCTGACGTTAATGGGCTTTGGATGATGTTCTAGAGACAGCAAAACAACTGAATTTCAGATTCAGTAATACAAACCTGATAACAATCAGCTACCCAAATACATCTCAGAACTGCTTCATTTACTCAAAGGCTTGTAGAACAGATTAAGCAGTTAATACAATTAAAATGAAAAAAAAAAAAAAAACCAACCACAGCTAGCCTGTCCTGCAGCACTCATCTACATGAATAACATTAATTGATTGAAGTGAGACTTTTCATCCAACTAAAAACTTCAGGATCAAAGTATGCAAATCCCCCCTCATTACTCTGTTGAACATCACCATAGCAAGCAGAATGTGGGTAGCACATTACCTCATTGCAGGCATGCTTATGGAATGGCGAATAGAGTAGCTGTGGGAGGAAAGCAAAACATAAGAAAAAAATGCTGAAAATCTCATTTCCAATATGATTATAATGTGTTTTTTTAACTTAGCTTTAAATGTACATATACATATAGTCAAGACAGCCGGTACTCTTCCTCTTCTGGTTGGCAGGGGCTTGCCAAACTCTCAGCACTGAAGATCTTACTGCCACATTCTCAAGTCAACTGACCAGCAGTGGGGCTCAAAAGAATGATGCAAAATAGCTCCTGGCAAAATTCAATAAATGGTGCAGGCCCTGGCTATCTACAGAGACACATGAAATGGCACAGAGAGCCACCTCCATGTCCCGCAGTGACAGAGGACGAGCTCTGTGTTGGGCAGGAGGGATACACCCCAGGTTTGTGCACACCAGCACAGCTGGTTCAGCTGACTCCCAATCTCAAAAGGTTCCTGCACAACTGCTTACCTAAACAGGTAAAGAGGTTTCTTCAGCCAGAAAAAGGCTGAGGAAAAGAGGTTTCTTCAGCCAGAGAGGCAGCACTCTCACATATCTGCACCTCTCCAGGACATTTCACTTCCTCTTTCACTCTTCAACTTTACCAAAGGTATGGAGCTATTTTCCACAGCTCTCATCCAGCTCTCTTTATGATATTTCCCTCCTCAGACTTCCCAGCAGCAGGAGTATTGGAAAGTTGTAAGCAGAGGATGGTGCCTCTGCATTACTCAAAGATCCCCAAATCATACTGCACACCTTTAGACCTCCAAATGCCACCCACGCTGACTGCTTGACTTACATGAGCCAAATTCTCCCATTTGAGACACCAGCTCTGTGTCCCACAGCATCACCTGTTCCCTGCTGCTGGGAAACATCATGCCTGGTCAAAAACAAGAATCTTTACTTGAAGCTTAAGAACTTCTCATAAGCACATTTAGATCTGAGCACTTTAGGTAAAGTGTATGATGCAAGAGTGTGTCTTTTTCCAAAAACCCCTGCATTGCTGCTTTCAGTGTTGACTGACAGCTGCAGCTTGGTCTGACTGAGAACAGGGAGAGCTTTACTGTAAGCATCACCAGCACTTGGCTGCAAGCAAAGCATGATTATAGTATTAAAAAATGAAAGCTCTCATACAAAAAGCACACGTGTTTGTTATAAATGACACAAAATCAGAGCAGCTCTGAGTCTACATAGAGATTTGCTTTTCCAGATTAAAGATTCACAAATGGGGGTGGGGAAGGGAGGGAAGAGCTATTTGGCAAGCAGGTGGAATAGTGAGCTGTAATACAAACTGTTTGCTGTTGTATATATTTTAAGGCTTCTTTTAAGATCAGATGGACAAGAACTGACAGCAGACAATGCTAATGTTTCATGTTCAATTTTTCACATAATTTTTAAGACTTATGAAAGATTAGCCCAAACATTTCACAAGTGCAGCAAATCTTTAAGAGTCCTCATTAAATTAAACAAGCATCCTTGCCGTTTTAATTTTGCAACCCACAACAAATAGGAAAAATAGAGTTTGGAAGTATTTCAGCATAGACTGCTCCTCTTTTAATAGGAAAACATTCCAAATATAAAGGTTTAAACCAGAAGATTAAATTCACACAGCTAAGAGATGGCACATGACAGACAATCAAAATATTAAATGCTTATTTTTTGAGTTCATATTTTAATTTCTCTAAAGAGGTAATAATGCAAGTTATAGAAATAGTGCAAAAATCTTCCTTTAGTACAAGCCTAAAATATTAAGCTTTCTTTAAAGACATGCATGATTGTGATAGTGATCATTGCAGAGAACAGGGATCCTTCATGACAGAGGAATCTGTCACTTATTACATTTTAGTTTCATGTTAGAGTGAGTTTAGAAGATCAATCTATGCTGTACTTTGTCATTTACTCATGAATTAGAGTCCTTGTTAGGATAACTTAGCTGAATGGAAGAAATACTCTTGAGCTTTTCAGTGCACTGAAGATACACTGAAGGCCAGAGGGAGTGGCAAGGCCTTCAGGGCTGTTCAGCCTCTCCTCAGGGTGATCTGACCTAAAGCCAGACTGCCTATAGAATCTTTAAGAACACATACAATTGTTTTCTAACATTTTTTTAAAATCATATATTCAAGTGCTTTACAGAATTAATAAACTCAAACTCTAATTATAAAGAACTCCTTTATCATCTTCAGAACTTGGAAATTTCCCCCAGACTCAAGACTTTTAAAGAATCATGACCAAGATACTTTTGCTCTATAGAAGATGAGGTAATTAAATACTTCATAAAATCTTTACAAAACTCAGCTGAATAGCTCTTTTTACTGTTTGTTGTTCATGTTAAACCTCTGACAGAAAGAATATGGTTGAGAGAATGGGATTAAATATCAGCAGGTTTTCTCATGACCAACGTCTTTTGAATGTGTCCATTATTTGAATTTAAGATTAACCTACTCAAGGCAAAAACTTAGTCGAATCCTTTTCTTGTTACATTCACCATGCTGTAAGAATGAGGCATAACAATTTAAGTAGCATATAATGATGCTGAAAGGAAAGAGGTTACTGCATTACAGCCCATAAAACAAATCTTGTCAAATACAGAGGCAGTGTTCATGGAGAGTAATGTGTCTTACCTAATTGAATGCGATCTGGGGTGGATGCACAAGGAAAGAAAAGCAAGAGTTAAAAGTATTAGGAAAAGGTAACAAAAATACACACACATCTGTAGCATGTCAAACTGCCCAAGGAGAAAAAAAAATAATTTACATTCAAATCTTGATGCTGGAATTCACAGTAGAATGTGGATCAGTTCATATCCCCCCAAAGCAAAAATTTTCATTCAGTCCTTCACTATGCAGTCACCTATTCTGTATGCATTGAAAAACAGAAGTTTTATCTTTAAAAACTAAATTTTGTGTTCTCTTCATTAGAACAGATTTAAACAATGCTGTTTTCTCTTCTCATAGCCTCCTTTAATATCATTAAAGAGAAAGTATAGATGAACTGGAATTGTACAAGTACATAAGAGCAAATGATGTTTTTCCCCCTCTGAATCCCTTAATCATCTCTCAGTTTAAAAAGGGTATGTAAAAATAAGGAGTTTTTAATTCCTAAAACAACATTTTCTAAAATACTTGTTCTTTGTTGAAAATAATACTTGAAACACTTTGTGTTTCACCTCTCAGGAAACTTAATTAAGGCGGAACTGGGAGAGACACACTGATATACAATATTCAAAGGATGTCATTAATGTTCCAAAGTTGAGAAATGATGAGGCAGACAAGCCTCTCCTTCATCTGTGTTACTGATGTAGTCTTTAATTACAGACCACTTCAAGGGAACACCTGCTTCATGCAGTGAGCCAGAGAGGTGGTGCACACTTAATGAACATCCCTTCAAATGCTCATTTTTCACATCCTTTCTCAATGTGTAGTGTGATGCATTATTTACTGTGCAATGTTCATACTTTGCTCCAAAGAAAAGCATTGATTTCTTCAGGTTTATTTACAAGGTTATACACATCATCATGTATACTGCTGCTTCTCAAACAGTCAAGGGTTTGTCTTCACAACACATTTCTGCTCAGACCCGTTTCAGTAATACTGTTGCCCTCCTTTTACTACCTGCTGGCTCCCACTACAGAGCCAGCCACCCCCTTCTCCATGCAAGTACAGGTACCTGCACAGACATATGATAATGAAATCTCTGTTACTGCAGACCTATAAAAACCAGCACAAATTAAGGGACAAATGTCCATGGAAGTGAGAGAAAACAACTTCCTCATCCATCAGCAAAAGAAACGTTTATGAAATAATTTTCTGAAGCAAGGAAGTGTTGCTATTTCCTTTATAGGGGTACCAAAAGACAAAGTTTGAGAATGGTAGTTGCAGGCATGACAGCTACAGCATTTGAAGGAATTCACATCTGACAGCAATTTTAAGTGCCCAGAACACCCTTACATCACAGAAATTCTAAAAGGCTGTGCAAAAACTCAGTCACCACAACAAACAACAAAACCCCCCAAAAGGCACAACAAAAAAGGCACAAGCAAAGTCAACTCCCAAAGTGGTAAAGCAAATTAATCATACCTGAGCCATCACCAAAAGATTTTGGCCCCGCCTGCTTCTAAAAACTTTAAATGACAGAGATTTCACAGCCTTCAGAAATAACTTCTGTTCAGCTGCACTTGTGAACCACAAGGCTAGGCTTGTAGCCCTTCTCTGCAGAGCTGCCTAATCAGTGCTCCCCATCTCTGCTTTTCAGCTTTTTCCCCATTTGGCAATAAAGCATGTTACACTTTCCTACACTGAATTTTATTTCATCATTTAAAATAATGTGGATTTCTAATCCTGGTGGCTAAAGTGCTTACATACCCTGCCACTGCAATCATTTGAGAATTCTAAGCAATGCCATCCTGGCACTTTTATCTAACCCAGCAATGAAAATGCTGATGAATAACAGACTCAGGACAGATGCCTGCAAAATCCTACATTATGGTCAGCTACTGAGACCTATTCTTTGGATACAATTTTCAATTCCCTACGCTCTCTTCCTGCTAAAGCAATAACACCTAAGCTGTATTTCTCTACGTCTGCAAGAGTAATACAGACAGGCTTATCAAAGTCAAGCTCTATCACATCTCCTACCTTCCATCTATCCTCTATGACAGGTGCTGTCAGTTCAAGATAATTGTTCTTGACAAACCCTTTTATGTTTTTGCTCTCATGCTATCTTCTAGGTGCTTAGAAAATAACAGGTTAATGCATTCCTCCAGTATCTGCCTTGTAGTTCCCAGAATCCCCCTTGCACCTCTGGAGAGGAATTAATTTTGCCTTCCTCCACCCCTCTGGTGCCTCCTGTTCTCGGGGCACATTCAACTGCCACAGTCATGCCCCCAGGCTGTCCCTCCCTGCAGCCTTTTGTGTCTTTCCACCTGTGCCTTCCAGCTCCTGGCAGGAGTGAGGCATTATATTACCTTCATTCATCTTGAGAGCTGGCTCATCCCAGGCACTGAATTTGAAAGGGGTCTGTGTGATCATGTAATTAAAGAAAACGTACCAGGCAGCTGAATAAAGGAGCTATGCAAAATGTAACCGCTGACATCCTCATTTGCATGCATGCCTTTGTTAGCCTAATCTTTAAATACCTTCACTCGAGTAGCAGCAATGTATGTGGTAGTGTGCATACAGTAGTGTAGTGCACATAGTTTATTTTTTCTTTCTTTCCTCTTTTTTTTTTAAAGCAACCCAAAAAAATCGCTCGCTTGGTATCACAACTTGTTTCTAAAAAGGTCATCAGCAGGGATGAGACATAGATTCATACAGACAACTGCAGAGTAGTCCAGCAGTATAGCATGAAAATATTCAAACTTTAGCAGAAAGCAAAGGAGAAAAGGATAAAGACCCCAACTCTATCAGATCTGTGCTCCTCTTAGCAAGAGCCATGTTAAAATGTCAGTGCAATCTCTAATACCGAGAGATCTGAGCCTCTGATCAATGCCCTGTGAGTCACCTGGGACTACCTCCTTCCTCTTAACTTTCCACACCAGATAAATATTAAAAGAGACAATGTGAGCTGGAGATGGAGGAGCAAAAAAAAAAAATAAATCTTGATGGCATATAATTATTAACAAGGCCTATTAATGAAGAATCTATTATCTTAGCTATATGGCTAGTGTCTGGTTTGTATCCTAAAGCAGAGGTATCTGTACATTGGTTTTATATGCATTTCTTGTATTTCTAGAAACACAACATTAAATAGGATACATTATGACTGTAAAGATCCCTTACAAGCTTATTAATACAAAATTCAGAAAATGTAAAATGCTAGTGATTATTCATGCACAAAATGAATTACAGAGTAGTGACACTGGGAAGATGGGGTGGGGATGAAAGAGAAGCACAGCAGCTGTAGGAAAAGCACTTGGTCCCCAAAGGGTGGCATCTGTTCTTTCAGACACATAGAATTATGTGATTTTTCTCACAGATTTTATCTTCTTGAATGCTAACATAACAAAATAGCACATTTGGGGGAGTATGTCTGGCCTGTTTTTATATTACATTTTAGTAATATTTTTAGAGACAAAACAAAATGAAAATTAAGATCCAATAACTTCAGAACAGAAATATGTTTTTCATGTAGTGCTCTGTACAGTTGATGTAGCAGGTAACATAGAAAACAGAATTTTGTTTCATAAAGAAGGCAGGTTTCAGTATTTAGTCAGTCTGTCTACAAACCCTTGTAAAATCACCATCACCAGGGGGTAAGGCTGCTGAACATACTGGGAATTATGATGACATCTGGATTTTAGAAATCAGTTTCAAATGTCTGCTCTGAGTGAAAGCAGAACAGGGATTTGCATCTGGATGTCATTGGTGACTATCAGCCTTAATGCCTAACCAAGAGAATTAAGCTAGAGTCTGATGATTGTTTAAAACGGCAGGTTGGGAGGGGGTGGTGATAATCCATACACTAGATCACTGAAATAAAATTATTTGGATTAGCAAAAACAGCAAGCCAACAATGACACAGAAAATTCCTGCCTCTTTACAGTTTTGTGTCCAAACACAAGTGAGATTGGAAAGGGAGGGGGAAGATTTTTAATAATCAGGTTATTTAAGTGATAAGGTTTGTAATGCGACCCCACACAGAACTATACCTGGCCAAGCTGAGCCAAGAACTTAGGCCAGCTTTGTTGCTAAGGGAAGAATACTGCCCATCACTCCAGATTTGGGATGTGCAGCAGATGCAGAAGGTCCCAGTCACGCCACTCTCTCTATAACTATGGGAACCTGGCTAGACCACTTGCTGCTTCATCATCAAGCATCAAGAAAACTCTCCTAACTGAGAACTGAAAACAGCAAGTATCCACAAAAAAGGCAGCGCTGGTACTTCATATTTTCCTGAAAAATTCCCACCAGGTTCAAGGTAATAATTTCAATCAAAGAAAGCTACTAGAAATCCTCTTTTTGATTAATCAGAATGCTTTTGGACTCAGCCTCTGCTTTGAGCCAAAGAGCTAATGGGATAAACACCTCCCATCTGCCATGTCAGAAGCATGACTGCCATGGGCAGGGGGGCTGACACTGATAGGTAAGACAAACGCATTTGGTAACAGTGATTAATTAAGGGAAATATTAAAGGCTGAACATGCTGTATTTCAGTGAAGACATTTCTGCCTTTGCAGTTAATCTCACACCATGTGCAAGGCACAAGTAACAGGACCTGAGAAATCCTGAATCGCTAAGTCACCCTTCCCTCCATAATCCAGAGCCAGTGCTCAAAGTATTCACACAGAAACTCTTTGGTCACTGCTGCAGGATCTAAAGCATGGAAGCAGCAACAGGACCTGTTTGCTGAGCTGAGGGCTTGTCTTTTTTGCAAGAGGAAGTGTTAAGAAAACATAAAATGAAACAGGGAATATGTTGGTGCCACATGCATCACACATATACATTTCTCAAAAATACAGAATACAACTATAAATGCAGGGAAGGCAGAAAAAATTAACAAAGGTAACAAAAAGGCTTGTGAAAATGACTCATCCAACTGGAGCCTGGAAAGAGGGAACTGAAGTGAAATACAATAAACTCACAAGAAATAATGAGTGAAATGAAGGTCAGAAGAAGAACTCACTCACTGTTTTTCATAATGGAAGAGCCAGAAGGCACCAAAGGAAAGACCAGGGAGACTCCAAATAGGGGATGAATGAATGAATGAATGAATGAATGAATGAATGAATGAATGAATGAATGAATGAACAAATAAACCACAGACTTTACCACATAAATTTCTATTCCTCTGGGGAGATGTGAGGTGTTATGAATTTCAAAAGCTCATAAAAGTTAAAATAAATTCTAAATAATGATAAATTTATGAAGGAAAACCTTTTTCTTTTAAATGAAGGCTCAAATTTATGTTTTAGAAAGTTTTCAGCTCTTAGATTTCTGAACACTAAAAAATATACAATAAAAATATAATTGCATGCCTTCTTATTCTTCTAGCATTTGATAGGCATATACTACTCATGAATGTTTAACTGTATAAAGTAAAAAATTCTTAGTTCTTCATACATAACTTAGTTATGTATGAAGGTTGCAAGTCATTCACTACATTTCCATTTTGAACTGCAGTGTGGAAAAAGACACTGTAAAGCAGATGATACAGTAATGAAGATTTTCCTTTTTCAGTTTCACCTAGAAAAACATAAGTACTTCTTTAGAGGATTTATTGAGCTGTATGTAAAAGGTAGGTATTAAGGGGGGGGGGACTCTAAAGATTTAAGATACAGAATAAAAATAAAAAGAGGAAAAAAAGGTTTTATTGCCATGAACTAAGCTTCAGTCATTTGCAGCACACACAGATCTTAGGATATGGTTACATCATACAGTACAAAATAACAAAAAAAATGACTACATACTAATGGGATAATATGCACTATTAATAAATGAGACCCTAATTACACAATTTTAGAGTTATCCATGTCCACTTATAACAAAAAAATCAACTCCTTCAATCACTCAGGAAGTTCTGTAATTCTACTGCCTAATGAAAACTGGAATGCTGGTTTACAGTATACAATTTTTGCTCTCATACTGAGGAACTTTAAAACCAACACTTTAAAAGATACATCAACATATAAAGCCTGACACTGAAGTTGCCTTTAAGTGGCAGTTCTACTGACCTCAACTCCTGTTACTTCTATCATATCTATTTTTATACAACTGCAGAACAAAACTTTGCAGTATGTCTTGAATAAAAGCTGAATAAAAATAGCCTGAAATATTTTTTGTATTATCACAAGCAGCTCCTAGGTAGGCTTCTTTTCTTCAGATGATATTATTCTCTAGCATCCACATAAGAATAAATTGGGTTAATGAAGAACTAACAGCAATTTTTTGTTCCATTTTACTTATACGTTTCCTTGAGTTTTCAAAGTTATTACAAAAGGATTTATGACTGTACTTTTTAAAGCAAAAACAGGACTTATATAAAAATTCTATCTTTGGTCATCATTACCTTCTTTCCACTTAAAAACATGAATGTTATTAAATACTCTATTGAACCTTTAGAACACTAATGTAGAAGGAAATGAAGAGCTGACAAATGATTTATACATTTAGTCCTCTAAGTAAGACCAGAGAAGCAGCAGATGCTGATACCTCATATCTCCAAACTTCTTGCTGATAGCTGTTCCTACATTGCTGATAGCTGCTGTTGCTTTTTGCCCCGCATGGCTCAGGGTCTCATGTGTTTTCTTGTAGCTGGAAACAAAAAATAGAACAGAAATAGTGATAGGTATTAACAACAAGAGACTAGAATCCCTGCAACTAATTTCTCCCTAAGTCACATCCACTGAAATGTTGATAAACATAGTAACTGTGGCTCAAAACAAGCATGGGTGAGGATGCCCATTTCTGCACAGCTTCCTAAGTGCAGGATTCTTCAGAGCAATCCTTATCTCAGCAATCCTCTCTTTCCCCCTTGCAGACAACATCCCCCAGATGGGCCAGTGCATGCTGGTTAAGAGCAGAATGCAGTGATTTGGGGAATACCTGCTTGATACACCTTTGTTTACAGAAAATCATATTTACATCAAGTAAGTATTCTTTCAGCAGACACTGACCTTCTGGCAAAATCTGCTGTCTGAAGCACAGAAAAGAATCAGGACAAATACAACTCTGCTCTTTCAAGCATATACATATTAGGTACATTTAACAGATACACTTCAAAATGATTCAGTGATATTTAAAATAGAAAAAAATCATCAAATCCGTTTCCACATTCCACAATTTTCTTTTCTTTTCACTTTTAAAAATTTCTTTACAGGAAGATTTGGGGAAGGACAGAGAAAGAAAGATGAAGAAACCTAGAGAGTGAATGCATATTCTTAGTCAGACTGAATTATTTTAAAATATGTCACTAATTTCACTAATAGCATGCAGATTCAAACACAGAATCATCTCAATTTAGTGATCCAGAATACATGCTCTGACCCATACAGACCCTTCAGTACAGGTAACTTGCACTCTCAGAGTAATCAGTAAGCTTTTCTGCAAAGATGACTTTCTGCTGACTAAACTAATTCTGAGCATGTCAGAGGCTTCCTTCTGAGTAAATTATCTGATCCTCCCAGTGACGCAGATAAGCTCAGAATTAGAAGTACTAACCTAGTAACAAAAGGAGAGCACAATATAATCAGCCTTCTATCCTGTGGTGTGTGTTGGCAGACAAGAAATGATCATAAAAAATTCAGAAATAAAACTCCACTGGTTCTCATTCTCCTTTGAACAAAAACTATGGAATTGCGAGCATGTACCAAAATATACTGGCAATTGATAAAGAAAAAAAAATCCTACTGCCTAAGTCCTTACAACAGGGTATTTTCTCCTTATTATCATGTATATAATTATTGTATAATTATTATATTATGAAAGTAATATTATATATATAAAATATTATATTATGAAAGTAATAACTTTGTGGAGGAAGGAGGGGAAATAAGATTAACATTTGCAGTATGGCACACCACATTCTGTCACATAGCTTTAGCCCCAGCAGGACCTATTGCTGAAAGTGCTCTGTTCAGGACTGTGTTTTACAAACCACCGCTTCGATGGCAGAGGCCACATAATGCTCTGTCCTTTCAGATAATATATTAGAATTTTATGTTCCTAAGCCACAACATCCTACTGATCTAACAAGTTTTTAAACCGCCAAGTGAAAGGGCTCCTTCTATGAAGGTGCTTGTCTCTGTTTTCACTAACAAGGCAATCCACAGGGAGAAACTGAAGACTAGGGTATGGAATTTCTAGGAGTCTCCAGTTGGATAAGCCAAACCAAACACATTGACATTGTTGAATAACAAGGGCTAAAACATTGCAACACTGACAGAAGGAACACAAATTATAATTAAAAAGGAAGAAGCAATGGTTATGCTTGCTTTATTTATTCTAGTACAATAGAGAGAAGATGGAAAAGATTGTGTTTTACTGAATCTCCTTTCTTCTCCTTTCTTCTCATGGCAAGAATGCAATACTCTTATTTCACTGAGGCCTCATTCTCTAGCTTAACTAGTTCAATAGCTATGTCATTCTTTTGCTGACAGCAGATATACTCTCATAAACTAGAATGGGATGAGACCCTAAAATAAGGATTCTACTGGCAAACTATAAGCACATAGCTTATTGGTAAGAGTTGCCCATGAAAAAGAAAAATATCAAATATTCTCTTGCCTGTGGCATACAAGTCTTAAAGAATTTGTGAACAGAAAAGCTTCCTAAACCATTCAGCACAAGTGGAATTTTGCTGATGACAACATGAAGACCAAGATTTGACTTCCAAGTCTAAAAGGTCCTTTGTAGTGCAACCTATTTATGTACAGGTTGAATGTACGTATTAAAAATACTTTTCAGATATCCCTCTAAACTGATTTTTTGAAATGACACCTTGTAGTTAATTTTATTTATAGGCACATTTAACTTTATGATAAAATATCTCTGTCTTACCTTTTCACTGCCCGTTCTTCACACCGTCTAAAACTATTTGGAGAACAGTCCAAAATGCACCATACAGGAGAGACCCAAATTTCACTGAGAAACATTAGAGTCCCCTACATATTTCTGAACATTACATTGGTCAGAACATATCTTCAGGGAAGTAGCTGGAACGACACTGATTTTGGCATTCCAGCAATATTGTGTTTTCTCTGTAAATCCCATAAACCAAACATCCTCCAGTATTTCCACTAGTGAGGAAGACATGGAGACTGCATTTGTGTTCTTAATACTTTTGACATTACATAAGAGCACAAATCCAGCTAAAACTGTTACACAACTAGTCTTTTTTCAGCACCAACTTCGGCAAAAATGACCTATGACATGTCCCCTCCTCCCTTCAGCAATGCTGAAGAAGAGCCTTAAGGAACAACAAAATAACAAAGGTGAAAATGGAGCATAACAAGCCATACCTGTCAGCAGAGACAAGAAAAAATAATTTGCATCTCAGCAGAGCTCTCTGATAGCTTAAAAATTAACCCTCCTGCCCATTACCATCTCTCCACCATTACATATATCACTATGCCTTCTTCAAAAATAATTTTTCCACAGAGCACATTGCCTCCCTGTAGTTAGTATGTGCTGTGTTGATATTTGGATGTATGATGCACTGTATTTTAGCTCAGATATATTTATCCTCATAGTTATTTCATATTTACAGCATCCATTTGATGTCTTTGCCATGCACTCTGGTAACAATGATCTCTTCAACATATTCTCTCTGTCATCTGGGAATCTGCTTGTATTGCACATGAGTCACCTGACCAAGCAGTTTTCATCATGCCATGTAACTCACAGCAGTTTGTACTTTTGTTTTAATGCACTGAGCAGCTTACATAATTTTCAGAAACCTTTACCTGCAGAAATAAAGTTGGATATTCCAGGTAAGAACTACAAACACTTATTACCTGGAAAAAGTGCTCCAGGTATGGTTTAAGTCCTCCTTGCACCACCCAATGCTCTGCATGCTAAGTCATCTACAAGACCTGGGCACTCTCATCCTATCAGCAGCCACTGCTGGCAGTCCTTAGGTGAGTGCTGACCACCAGCTCATGAAGACAGCTGACAGCACCTTAGGAATCCGCCAGCCAGCAGCTCAGGTCAACCAGTGGCCCCCAAACTTATGGGCAGAAATACTCCAGCAAAAGCAAACTCAGATAATTTAGGATACAGGGATTCAAGAATGACCACCTTCCATCCAAGTCACTGAGTGCATTTTTACACAAATACATCATTACACCCATACAAAGGCACCATCAGCAGTACACCAAGTAGCATCAACAAAAGTAGAAACAGCCTACTTGATTTATTCAGTTAGAGTAGGAAATCCTGCTCTGATTTTGTGCCATCTGAAAATACTCTGTAGCACAGAAGAATTGCTGGTAATGGTTAACAAGGCTCATATTCTGTGCTTTCACTCAGCACTTAACAATAAATATTTGTAATGTATTTCATAGACAAGAGGGATTAAACAAATAAGTTATATCAACTGCTGTCTCAGTTTTAAACTTGTAAATAACACTCACCTGTGAACATTTGAACATTATCTTTATATATGATATTAACCTAAGAATTTCATCCATCAACTTCTGATGATAATTTTGTTTTTAAAACAGGGTATTTATTTAACAGAAGCAATTATTTATAAAAGTGATTATCAGAGGTTATCACAAAACATGCTGATATTGCAGTTATATTCCAATAACACGCCTGACATAATTAAAAGGAGCTTTAAAGATAACTCATGTCTCCAGTGCTGTAACATACTATTTAGACAAAGTAGATTTGCATATTCTGACTGCACTTTCACTTGACAGTGAAACTACATTTAGGTTATGCTATCCTGTGACAACCACATCTCACTATATATATCTCACTGTGATTTTTACAGACAGTGAAAGGAAATATGAAGAGATACTGTTTCATAAAACATGTGAAGGAACCAGTGCTTTATAGAGAGAACTGCCAAGCAGCAGCCATATAGAGAGAACTAGACATTTAAATGGCCAACATCATCTGCAGGATATGACAGGACAATCATACTCATCTCATCTCAGTACAGAATTGCCCTTCACATGGCAGAGTTAAATGTACCCTTCATTCACAGGTGCAATACAGACTGTGCTGACAGAAGTAGGCTACACATATAATATTTATATTTTGCATGTCAAGCTGCACATTTGATGTACTGCAGTAAATGATAAAGAATTTTAATTCAGCTTCTGTAAAATTAGTACATTTGCTAATTAGTTCATCTTCATTCAGCATTATGCCTCTCCATCAATGCTTGCTGGCAAAATTAATCCATTTGAGAAAGCCTTGCCTGTGATAAGGCTCACAGAGGATGTAACAGAATGCAAACAATTAACAACAAAACCATACAGTAGAGCAGAGCCTGGTAGCACAAGCTGTGCCCTATGGAGCTTACTTCTTTTCAGTTTTCAAACCATTAGTCATCTTAAGAATGATTTTCTGCAATTGATCTAAAGCATCTGGATCCCTGAGAAACTCTCAGCTACAAAGCTCTTTTTCTGTTGATTTTCTGGGAGAAACAGGGCTCAGCATTAACTAAATTATACTAATAGGCCAGTGAGATAAATGCATATATGACAGATAAAAGGTACATAAAATATTCTCTATGAGCATTCTTATTGTCTTTTTTGCAACAAATTAACTATAAGCTGTTGTGCATTATTTTAGGTTTTTGT